GAGGAAAGGGCAATGGTGGTTCATACCTTCTCACGGGCTTCTCTACCTCATCATGAACTTGTGGATTATTCTTCACAACAGCTGGCTCAACTTCTTCCTCATCAAGTTTCTCCTTAATCTCCACATCAACAATTTTATTTAGAGTTGATGTTTTGATTGGAAGAGATGGTTCTCTAAGTACCTTGCCACTCCTTGTAACAATTGCATTGACATGTCCTCTATGATTTTCGGTGCAAGCGGGCAACTTTCCAGTGACTTTGGTGCAAGATGTAGATGCTTGATTGGCAAGTTGATTCTCTAGCATCTTATTGTGGGCACTCAATTGATCTAACCTCTCTGTCACTTGCTTGATCCTCTCCTCACTTTGCAACTGAAACTTGAGCAACATACTCATCATGGCCTCTAAGTTTGATTGTGGTGGAGCCTCCAAAACGGGTAATTGAGATTGAGATTGTGTACCTTGAAATTGTTGCCCTTGGAAACATGGTGGACCTATATTAACAAAATGTTGGTGATTGGCAGCCCCCATTGGGTTACTCCATGAAAAACCTGGTTGGTTCCTTACGGTGTTTAGATTATAGGTCCCTTGAGGTTGAAAGGATTGTTGTGGTGGCCTATTATATCCAACCAAATTAATATGCTCCATTGGGGATTGAGAACCTGAATCATTGAGACATTCCCCCAAATTATGTCCACCACCACAAAGATCACACATCAAAACTTGACCCAAGGGAGTTGAAGGGGTAGAAACATAACTCACATTTTGCTTTTGGAGGGTGATTTTAGCAAACTTTTGGACCAAGGAGGCTACATTATCCACCTTAGCTAACAAGGCTGAAATTTGCTCCACTTCATGAATGCCTCCTACAAATTTTTGAGAAAATCTCTTCGAGTACCATGTTGATCTATTCATAGCAATCCAACAATTCCTCGACTGGAGTTGGGTCCAAAACTGTGAATGATCCACCCGAAAAACATCAACTAGTATCAAGCAAACCTTCATAGAGTGCCATCATCAAATCGTAACTTTGAATGCCATAGTGTGGACACTGCCTTCTCATCTCCTTAAATCTCTCCCAAGCCCCAGTCAATGATTCAGTTGCCAATTGCTTGAAATTTTGAATTGCCCTCCTCATCCTCTGAGTCTTGGAAATTGGATAGAAGTTTTTCAAGAACTCTCTATGTAGTTGATCCCAAGTAACAAAATGGTTGGCTGGAAGTGAGATGAGCCAACTATGAGCTTTATCCTTTACTGAGAAAGGAAAAAGACGTTGCTTAATAGCCTCTTAAGGGATTCCATTTATTTTGAAGGTGCCACAAATCCTTAGGAACTTGGTGATATGAGCATTAGGATCCTCCGTGGGTGACCCTCCAAATATATCCGAAGCAACCATATGTAGAATGGTCGACTTGATTTCAAAGTTGTTGGCCTCTACACCTGGCACATTGATGCTATCATGCTCCTCAACATCTAGAGCAATGTAGTTAGACATGGATCTCCCCACAGGTGGTGGTTGATTGACTCCATTGTCAACCCCACCTCCATTAGAATTCAGATTGATTTGGTTTCCTGGTACCTGTGCCATTCTTCTTTGTTTTCTAAGGAACTTCACTTGCTTTTCAATCTCAAGGTTCAAAGGCAATAATCCTTCTTTCCCTAAAGACCGTGTGCGCATATAACACCAAGTCTTTAGAACCAAAAATCACAACTCAAACAAAGACGACTTATTAACAGTTAACAAAAATAAAATAAAATAAAAATAAAATAAAAGGGGTGGATTAGACTCTTAAAATAAAACTTTCACTAATGTCAATACAAAATGTCACCTCCTCGGCAACGACGCCAATTTGATTGCAGTATATTTCTCAAACAAATAATACCTAGAGTACCAGGTTATCGATCCAAGGGGGAAGTGAAGCGTATTAAGCACTAGCTACTAATTTATTCTTATGAAGCTAATCCTAACGAAAGACATGATTGAGCAATGACAAAAACTAAATAAAACAAACTATATAGGTTTGTGAAAACAATAAGGAGAGAATGAGATTCCTGGGATTTAAGTATTTAATCACCTAGTGCCAATCTTAAGAACAATATTAAAATATAGGTTTAACAAGTGTGAGAATGCAATTGGTAGAAAGAGTTACTCCCGTAATATCTGTCCTATGTGAATATTCACTCCCGTGATATAAACACCCAACAATATAAGCACAAGCATTCATAATAAATCCCTAATTACTACCATCTCCCGATGTGACACAATCAAGAATTAAACTCCATAACATATTTGCCCTCTCCCAAGGCGCAACAGTTAAGTGCAATTGTGTGTGCCCTAAATAATGCCCAACTCCCGTTGTGACACAAAGAAAGCTATGAAACAAGTAATTAGGTCGTTAACTACTAGCAACAACAATACAAAACACAATTGCAACACAAGTTAAAACCCAAATAATAATATATTAAAGCATTAAAGAACTAGGCACAAAGATTCATAAATACTTTTCACCCAAAAATCTCTAAAGTAAATTAGCCACACATGGCTTATATGCAATACATAGCAATAATTAAGAGTTTACAAATAATCGAAAAGAGTACAAGAATTAAACCAAGCGATTCTCCCAAATATCCTTAACTTTCTCCTTGCTTCCCAATCCAATTTGTGGCTCTCAATTCTCTTCTTTCTTATCTCCAAAACTGAGCATAATAGTCTGGGGTTGAGGGAATGTGGCCTTTTATAGTGGGAGCCAAGTAGGGATGCATTTGGAAGTTTCCGCGCCACTTTCCAAACTCTGATAAGGATTTTCGACGCGTCCAGAATTGGCTAGATGCGTCAAGTCCTGTTTTCCGCCAAACTAAAACGTTACTAGAAACTTTCGACGTGTTGAGTCTTTTGTTGAAACATAGGTTGTATCCCTTTCAGTCTTCTTTCCAATGACGTAAGAATCACCTGAATCAGACATTCCTAAAGTGAGATATGTTCAAAATACTAAGGTGTCGCCAAATTCACGAGAATTACAACTCTTTGGTCTTTTGCTCCACTTTTCCCTTGTTTTGTTCTTGTGATCAAATCCATTGAAAGTAGCACCCTCTGGCTCTCTTTGAAGAATTTTAGTATCCTCCTTACCTTCACATTGACTTTGTTTTGGCTGCAAACTCATCCTAGAACTATCCCTGATTTTTCAATTGATCTACAATGGTTCCAAAACACTAACAAACACCGTAAAACATTCAAATCAAGTGTAAACCCATATCTTAATGAGAAAACAAAGGGAATGTGCATTTAAAGTCACATTTTTCATGAACTTAAACCCCACTAATATATTCAAACTAACACTAGAAATATGTACAATTAGGCTCACATCATAATGGCGAAGGTAACGGGAAATCCTAAGACAAGTTTGGTACCAAAATGGAGTTGTAATGCTGAAACAGAGGATTCGACGCGTCGAGTCCCACACGTCCAATAATTTTAGTAGAGTTTTTTTTTTGTGGTCAGAGAACTCGACGCATCGAATAATTCCAGGGAGTTTCGTTTTGGCGGAGTTCGAGACTCGACGGGTCAAAAATCCTGGACGAGATTTTGGAAAGCTGTGCGGAAACTTCCTAATTTATCCCTACTTGGCTCCCGCTATAAAGAGCCCATCTCCCCTCAACCCTAGATCATCAAGCAGCATTTTTGGAAGCAAGAGAAGAGAAGATAATCACACCCAGAGCTACAAGTTATCTTGGAAGAAGAGCAAAAGCTATGATGATTTAGGAGAATTCTTTCCCCTTTTCTTTTACTTTCTTTGTTGCTTGTAAAATCTTTTATATTATTGCAATGAATTCTATTCTAGCCTCAATAAAAGTGTTTATGAATCTATGTGCCTAGTTCTCAGATTCTTTATTATATTTATATTTGGGTTTTATAACTTATGTTGCAATTGTGATTTATATTGTTGATGTTAGTAATTACGGATCCAAATTACTTGTTTCATAGCTATCTTTATGTCTTAACGGGAGTTAGGGTATAATTAAGAGCACCCACAATTGCACTTAACTATTGCACCTTGGGAGAGGGCATATTTGTTAAGGAGTTAACTCTTGACTATTGCACATTGGGAGATGACTATTAGTTGGGAATTTATTATGAATGCTTGTTCTTAAATTGTTGAGTGTTTATATCATGGGAATGAATATTCACTCGTGTTGTTTTAGGTTGGAATTATGAGAGTAATTCCTTCCGTTGTTTGCATTCTCACACTTGTTTAACTCCAGATTTAATATTGTTCTTTAGATTGGCACTGGGTGATTAAACGCTTGAATCCCAAGAATCTCATTCTTCCTCTATTGATTTCATCAACCCACTACTTTGTTTTAATTATTTATACTTTTACAATTGCTTAATTACCCTTTTCGATAGGATTAGTTTCTCGTGAATAGATTAGTTGCTAGTGCTTGATACACGTCAGTTCCGTGTGGATCGATAACCCGATACTCCGGGTAATTATTTGTTTGAGAAATATATACAATCTATATACATATAAAGGTCACTATTTTTCAGCCAATCAAATGGCTTCATTTTCCCGCTCATGGAAAACTACACCGTTTTGTTTTTTTGTTTTTTATTTTTTTATTTTTTTTTTATTCAAATCTAAGAATGTCCCGCCTACTTTGAATTTATTTTTTTATTATTTAATCAGATCAGATTTCAGAAGATATGATATTTGCGTGAGATTTTATCCTAATTTTTAGGTTGTTGACCTATTGTAGAGTTGCTATGGGTATGGCCTTCTTCATAGTATGCGTGCATTTTAAGTTTTCAGGGTATGGGATTGCTGTCAAGCCTATATATTTTTCAATATAATAATACGTATAGGAGGTGATCTCCGGGGCTATATATACATACACAATGAGACATAATTTTACAAGTATGCGAAGAGAGTAGTGAAACCCAAAACAATATAGTTTACAGTAAGCATTAAAGTAAGTTCCAATTGGCAGTGACCATCTCTGAAGGATGTCTGGGCAATCTGGGCAATTCATTCTTGGTGCAGACCTTCATCCACAGCTTACTACGAAGGCAATTAAGCTGCGTTGTGTAAGGAATTATGTTGTCACTGAAACAAAGGGAGAAAACAACATAAGAAGCCAAGAGTGTGTGTTTGTAGATGAACAGGTGTTATTCCTACATTACCTTCTTATATATATATATATATATATATATATATATATATATATATATATATATATATATATATATATATATATATATATATTTTAGATTGTTTTTAAGTGTTGCTAGGTTCTGCTAACTATGTTGTTTTGGTTCTTTGAAATATAGGGTATGTTCATCCATGTGCACATACCTAAGGACATTGTAAGCAAATATAAGAATGAATTCAAGGAGGGGCAAGTTTATGGGATTAGGAATTTCCTATGTATCACAAACTTTTTCAAATACAAAACAAGCACTTTGCGTTATATGATAAAGTTTAAGTATGACACATTGGTGAAGCAATATAAGCGTATCAAGTTCCCGAAAACGATGTTTCGGTTCAAGAGTTTCCCTGCTATACTTTCAAAACAAGATGTGGATGAGAAAGTTTTAATGGGTAAGTGATTCATAATCAAAACTGTTATATTCAAATTACAATTATGATAATCTACAAAAATATCTTATATGTGTTGTTAACATAGTCCTATGTTTTTAGATGTCATTGGTAGAGTTGTGGAGATTTATTCCCCACTGGAGAAGGTAATTGCTGGAAAAAAAACAAAGTTGATAGACTTTGTCCTTGAGGATATGAGGTAAGTTTTTCTTCTGAATTTTGCACTTCTGTCTATTACATTTAGTAAGCTATATATTACATTCTGATTGTATAACTTTCTTACAATTATGTGTGCAGTAAAAATCAGATTAAGTGCACACTTTGGGATGACCACGTGGATCAACTTATTCCTTATTTCAACCAAGATGTTACTGACCCAGTCATACTTTTGATCCAACTATGCCGTGCTAAGTTTATGGACAGTAAGTCTAACTTAGTATTTACTACACACATAATTTATGTACTTATTTAATCTCTTATGCTTGATAGATGGTGAAGTGCGCATATGCAGCTCTTTCGATGCAACTCAGCTGTTTTTCTCTCACCCCTGTAAGGAGTTTGTTGCATTTAAGAGCCGGTGAGTGTACCTAGGAAATCTTTCCTAATTTCATGGTTGCTTCTTAATGAAGCACTAAGTGTTTTGTTGGTTTGTTGTTTTAGTAGCTTCACAAGTAACTCAACTCCATTGCGGTGTATTGATTCCTCATCTCGGCTTGGTGTTGGTCTTCCTAATGGTAGTGGTACTTCCAAGGAAGTGTTGGTCAGTTCTATTGAGGAAATATACAGTAAAAAAAATGTAAGTTATGATTTTTTTGCTTAAAACCTATTTGCATAGAGAATATAGTTACCACTTCTGTAACTTTAACTATCTATATAAGGCTGGATTTATCAATAATTACTAAGTAACTAATGGTAGTGCTTATAATCTATTTCTGTGGGAATATAGTTACCTAAACTTTGACTTAAAGTATGTAGTGTTTATAATCTATTTTTGTGGGAATATAGTTACCTAAATTGTAACTTTAACTACGTATATAAGGCTGGATTTATCAATAATCACTAACTAACTAACAGTAGTGTTTATAATCTATTTCTGTTGGAATATGGTTTCGTACAATGTAAGTTTAACTATGTATACAAGGCTGGATGTATCATAACTAACTAACATTAGTGCTTATAATCTATTTCTGTGGGAATATAATTACCTAAAATACAGATTTAACTAATTATGTAAGGCTGGATGTATCAATAACTAACTAACAGTACCTTTATTGTGTTATGTTGGGCAGTTGGGGGAGTATTGGGTAGCTGGTCGAATTGTTGGTGTTGAGAGTCTATGTGATTGGTACTTTATCTCTTGCAAGACTAATTCTTGCAAGAGAAAGCTGTCTGAGAGTGGAGGGATGCTCTATTGTTCTGGGTGTAAGAGCTATTGGCAAGAAGGGATTGTGAGGTATAGAGTGATAGTTCGTGTTGCTGATGAAACTGGGGATGCTCCCATGCTCATATGGGATCGGGAATGTGCTGATTTGGTTGGTATAGCGGCTGCTGACTTAAAGGAGAAGTATCCTGGGGTATGCAATTTTTTTTTTAATCTTCTTACCTGATTTGTGAGGCTAAACCTTGACACAGTATATGAAATTTTCCTAGGGTAATAACTCTATTCCACCGGAGCTAGGACGTTTGCATGGGATGTCTATGCTATTTCGGATAGCTATGAAGAAAGATCAAGTAGAGAGTTATTACTCTGCTTTCACTGTTCTACGTGTTTGTAGAGATGAAGCAGTTCTTACACAGCACTGCTCAGGTTTCTTAGCTTGCAGCCAATCTGAGATCGTGTCAGCTGATGGTGGTTTGGATGTTGGTCAAGCCTGCGAGGTAGATATCATCTAAACTACAAAAAGGAATGTTTTTAACAAATGTCAAATACTTAGTAGCTAATGCTTAAGTTTTTTTTTCTCATTTAGCAAGTGTTTGTTAGTGATGATGAAGAGGGTGAAGGACTGGAAATTGGTTCTGAAGACTTTGACCAGGACCAGTGTGTTGGGCTGGATGAAATTCCTGCAGATCTAGATGATGGGGCTGTTGCTGTTCCTCTTAAGAGGTGCCTAATGAAGGATTTTGATGCTGTTGGGAGCTCAAAGAAACCTAAGGTTGCTGTTGTGAAGAAGGAGAAGTAAATGGAGTAGCATTAAAGGGAATATGTTGAAAATGGCTTGCACTAAGACTAGGTTTTATGTTTTTGGTAATCCACCCTAATGTGTATTTTTGCTGGTGTGTTTTGAAGGCTGAATTGGTTGAACTGTAAAGTTAAGGTTCACTTAATAGTATGGTGACTAAGTGTAGGTGGGTGATGATGTTTTGTGTTTTTGTAAACTGGCATTGTCTTAGTTGCAGCTGTTATCTAAGTCTACTTAATGTAATATGATGCTAATTTCAACTCTATGTTTCTTAGGCAAATATGGATTATCTTCACATAGGTATAGGTAGGACAGACACTTATTAATCAACCATTCATCACATATTGTCAACATCTAGACAAAGAAAAAAATTGCTCAACTTGAAAAAAAGGCTAAAGCTGTAAAAATAAATATCTGAAAACAGACTACCAATATTTGATATTAGGTAATATCCTAATCTCAATAATTTTCATTAACACTTTGTCCAAAAAATTGGCATCAGACATGTTTATCATCATTTGCCCCTATCATGATTAGATAATATCATAGAAAAACATGTAAAGAGTGGCAAAAACACATAAGATTCAGGTTGATGGACTTGCTTATAAGTTATATACTGAAAACTGCACATGATGTTGATATTTTACACTTAGACCTTGCCCTATTAGTTTGATCTACAGTTTGCTATAGATGATAAAAAGACATTACTCAACAAATGATGATATAGTAAGAAATTAGGAAAAAAAAAACCTAAATTGCCATATATTATGTAAAAACCAAATAGACATTATGTTTAATTAGATATAGATAAGACATACACATATTAGTCAACAAATCATCATATACTAAGAACTTCGAAAAGAAAAAAAAAGGACTAAATTTGTAAAGGGATTGTTTAAACAATTACTACTACAGAAACACATAATAGTCAGCAAATCATAATATATTAACAACTTAGAAAAAGAATGGACACATAAAATTCCAATGGTCTGTCAAAGCAATAAGGGGTGATCACAGTTAACCACAATTGGAAAATTGTATCCAATTGTTGTTTGCTGTAAGTTATACTATATTTCGAAAGAGAAAACACAATCTCATATAGTTATGCTTGAAGTTATTAGTCACCAACGGGTAATATGATAACAAGTTTAAAAAAAATGTCTAATGGTAACTTTTACACTTGTCTATCAAAGCAATGAGCAGTGAAAACAGTTTCGCAGAAATTGAGTAACAAAAAAAAAAAAAAAAAAAAAAAAAAAAACAAATTTACCCAACTTAACAAATGCAAGTAATGAGCAAAGGAATGCAATATGCACAACGAAATTTCGATATAAAAGAACAAAAGAATAAAATATTAAGATACAATGAAACCATACATTTGCATGTTGGAATTAAAACTTTAGTAACTTTAAACTTACTAACTCATTTGCATCGTTATCTGGTTTTTGGTTGTATGTTCGCCTTAATGTTGCACCATCTACACAGGAATTTCAAAATTTTTGTGTTAGTATTATGAATATACATGCAGCGCGATTAGTACTTCAAATAATTTGTAAATACAATGTCTGTGACTCTGTGTATATAATAATTAAATTAATTTCTGGTTTGTTCTATTTTTTTGTATTTAACTTTGTTGTTTTTTTAATTTGCTGTTTATTATATGTGAATTGCTAGGCAAATCTCCTTTGGCAGAGGGCACAATTAAACATTTGGAAGAGACACAATAAGTAATGAAACTGCTTTCCATGGCTGCATGCCAAGGGAAATTTTGCGATGCAATATAATGCAGCTACAGGCTACATCTCCATATATACATCTCAACTCAATGTTGCATTTTACATGGGTTAGTGTGAACCCACTTTTATTTGGACAAGAACCTGGGCATATGCCATTTACAAAAGTGGCATATTCAATTATTCATTCATCCAGATGGTGGAGAAAAGGAAAACCAAATCTGATATGATTTTGAAATGATTTTTTTCTTATTTAAAATTTTAAAAATAGCTATCACATTAATTGAATAGAATCAAGTTACACAAAATCCAATACATACAATATTTCTACTTTATTTATAGACATAGCCTTACTATCAAGCATTAATTGCTGATTGTAAGTTTTGACTTTGTAAAAGTAATGTGTGATAGTGACTTTTCAATTCTCTCAAATTTGATATCTATATATACAACTCATTTAAGTCTAACAAAGAAACATCTCTATTCTCCACTCATTTTGAAAGAATCTACCATTAATGTGATTGCATTGTTAGTAATTGCAGTAAGAATGAAGAAATTGACGGGATCAACTACGATATGTGGAAAAAGGAAATATGTTGGCTCAAATAAAGGTACAATGTTTCATACCTATTTGTCTTCATTCAAATTCCATGAATGATTGTGTTCTTATTTCAGTTGCACCAGGGTCCTCATTTGCTTAACATTTATTGTGAAATCTGCAATAAATATTTATTAAAAGTGGTATGTCAATTGTAGAAAAAAAATATGATTTGAAAATGATTAAAATGCAATCATTTTTGTTGGTAACATGTATATATGTAATATGCACTATAAAAAAATTAAATATCCACTGAAGTTTCATTCAGAATAATGAAAAGAAAAAAAAAAGTTATTTTTCATATTTTTTTCAAGATTTTCCATTTTTGATATTGCTTTCATTAGGTTGTAATGTACAGATTTGGTGTCCTCTAAAATGTGTTTTCAAAATAGATATAGTTACCAAATTACAAGTTTAATGTAAGTAAAGAACAAGAGTTAAACAAAAATTAGGTATAGTCTCTATAGCTTTACAAAAATTCATCGAATCTGATAGTGAATATAGTATAAGTATAAACTTTCTGAAAATTATCAGTATTGTAGGATTTAGTTTAGGGAAACCCTAAAATTAGGCCTTAAACAAACATTGAGTTAGGGGTTTCTCCATAAACAGTGTAGGGAATTATATTTCGTCCAGAAAATAACAATAATCCTCTATTATAAACAAAATCAGGATCTAATTTAATAAACAAATAAATATATAATTAGGCATATAGGATCATTTCAGGATCGGGAATACAAGATGTAGAAAATTGAAAGAAGAAAAAAAAAACCTAAATAGGTCTTTAATCTATGAAAATAAAAGTAGCACAGACTAAAAATTTCATTGCATGCACTCTGAATCAAACAAATACTGTTAATTTGAGAAATAAGAACTAATTTGAAACAGATCTCATATATATTTGGAGATGATAAAGATAATTAAAGTGATAAACACAGTTAGACATTAAAAAAAAAAAACTAAATAACAGCAAGAAATTAAGAGAAAACATATCTGTAATTATGAATTTAGCTTCAGTTTAGTACGATTTCCACCTAAATGAAGACAAATTGATAGCTGTCGTTCAAGGTTGAGAGAGAGAGAGAGAACATCGGTAATCTCCGAAAATGAAGATGTTCAAGATGAAGCCGTGACAGACAGAGGATAAGGGTCAACACCATTTTTCCTCATCTGTTCTAGGTTGTAAGAGAGAGATAGATAGCATCAAAGAAATCATGGAATGAAGTGGGTTAGATGAAGACGAGAGAAGTGAGAAATGAAGAGGGCTCATATTAGATCTTTCATCTTCATCTCTTCATTTTTTATTTTATTATATATATATATATATATATATATATATATATATATATATATATATATATATATATATATATATATATATATTGGGTTGGTTAATTTTTTCTTCTTTTTTTTTTTTATAAAATGTTTAGGAATTAATAATTTCATTTTAAGTATGTTAGTTAATTACATAATTAGTAATGAAATGTTATTTATGTTTAATTGGGCAAATTATGATGTGTAAACGTGTTTACCAAGCGTATGGTGAACACGGGATAAATCCATAATTTCTAAGCCGTAGATCCATAATTATTATGGACTTACAACATAGAAATTATGGATCTCTATAATTTTTATGTTGTAGATTCATAATATTTATGCGGTAGAAATTATGAATCTACAGTACGGTATAATTTTTAATTAATTTAGAAAATTGTGATTACCAAGCGGGTTTTGATGTTCGTTGTAAAGATCGTGGTGTGCATCAGTCAAATTTACAGCGACAATTATTTCCTGGAGTTTTTAGGCCTCCGTTTTCTAGAATTGTTGCTGTTAATAATAATAGTAACCATAATTCAAATGTATTTTATTTTGTAAGTAAATAGAATAAATTTATTTATTATTTACGTTTTAAGTTGTAAATATTAGTCTTACTATTGTTTATCATAAATATTTGTTTTTTCTTTAGGTTTGTAGTTTTAAATTGTTACGTATTTATTCCTCAAGGAAAAAAAAGATTTTATCAGCAATTTGATATGTAATTTTGTACGTACGTAAATAAATTTAATTTTTTAACATACACACATTATTATTGTCTTATATATTATTGTATATAATATTATCCATTTTGTATTTAAATCCTACACTTTGAATGACTAATTAATGGGAGTTCATATGTATGGGTATATAGATGCAGGAAGTGCAATTTGTAACCCAATTGAAGTTCAGTCGAACATTATGGCCAATGTGTTACAAAGCTCAAGTACTAATAATTGTAATTTTACAGTTGAGAATGGCGAAACAAGTCAACCGATAATTGGTATTTGTTTATTTCTTTTAGTGTAATTGTAATTTATTGTGTAGTTTATTTAATTATTTTATGTGTATATATTAATGCTTATTTTTAATCTGTGTAGATGACAAAAAGAAATGTAATGTGGTTTTTTCAAGTGTTCGAGGTTTGGGGTGTTGACAATAAAGGTTAGATTTTGTAGAACTAAAGAATAATTTGAATTTTTAAGTCATTATATTTATTTATTTATTTTTGGAAAATATTTGTTGATGTACTAACAACATTTACTATTGTATTGTAGTGCTATATTATGATATAGGTGATCCAGTTCTTAAATGCCAACATTGTAAAGCGTTCTTTTGGACGGATGAGAAATTGAAGGATGTGAAAGTCAATGGTGCTGCAAGATATTCAGTTTGTTGTAGTAATGGCAAGATTAAGTTACCAAGATTGAATATTCCACCGAAAATCATTTTCGATTTATTTTTCGACCAAACTCCACGAAGCAAACATTTTTTGCAACATATACGGTCGTACAATAACATGTTTAGCTTCACATCAATGGGAGGTCGTGTTGACAAAGATATTAACATAGGTGGAGCTCCTCCAGTGTTCAGATTAAATGGTCAGAATTTTCATTTGTTGGGCAGTTTATTGCCGGTTGATGGTAATAAACCGAAGTTTGCACAACTTTACATCCATGACCCAGAAAATGAGATTTTCAATCGGCTTAATGCTGTTAGGTATGCTCTCTTTTAGTATGTAATTGGTATACTTAGTTGTAATTCGCATGTGTGGTTATGCACAAACATAGATATCTACACATTCATGCTATATATATATATATATATATATATAACTGATTTGTGTTAAATTTTGATTGTAGCGGCGGCAATGAGGTCAAAGAATTACATGAAGATATTGTTTCTGATCTTCAATTAACATTAGATGAGAACAATGTTTTGGTTAGATCATTTCGAATGGCTAGACATGAAATAAAGAAAAATCCCAGAGTCGACGTCAAAATGAAATTAATTGGGAAACGCACTCAGGATGCCAAAACATATAATCTACCGACAGTGTCAGAGGTTGCTGCTATTGTTGTTGGTGATTTAGATCCAATGTTGGGTGAAAGAGATATATTGATTGAAACAAAATCAGGTGTGCTTAAGAGAATTACTGAACTTAATCCAGCATACCTCCCACTTCAGTATCCAATTTTGTTCCCGTATGGTGAAGATGGTTATAGAGAGGATATCCCTTTCAATGTTGAAAGACATATTGATAAAGGAGCACGACATAGTGTTTCTCTCCGCGAATATCTTTCATTTCGTATTCATGAGCGGCTGAATGAAATTTCAACATTTTTATTTGCTAAAAGATTATTTCAACAATTTTTAGTTGATGGCTACACTATGGTTGAATCTGCTCGACTACTTTACATTCGTACACATCAAAAAGTCTACGATGTGGATCATATAAAGGGCTTTTTGATGCTTTGACGCGTAGAGAAGTTCAGCCCGGGACTCATGGCAGGCGTATTGTATTGCCTTCTAGCTTCACAGGTGGTGCTCGATATATGGTTCAGAATTACCAAGATGCTATGGCAATATGTGGTTGGATTGGTTATCCAAATTTATTTATCACCTTTACATGTAATCCAAAATGGCCAGAAATACAACGACTGTTGGAAGGGCGGAACTTGAGACCTGAAGATCGTCCTGATGTATTATGTCATGTATTTAAAATGAAATTGGATACTCTGGTTAGGGAGATAAGAAGTGGTTCTATTTTTGGAAAAATTATAGCTGGTATGTGTAATTCTTCTTGATTTATTAATTATAGATTATTGGCAAAATTTCTCTATATGTTGATATTCATTGTTTTGTTGCAGTGATTTATACTATCGAGTTCCAGAAGCGAGGATTACCACATGCACACATCTTGCTCTTCCTTGAGCGTACTGATTCACAACAATTTGCAGCCAATGTTGATTCTTTGATAACAGCAGAGATCCCCCAAAAAAACACTGACCCTGAATATTTTAAGGCTGTTAGTGATTTCATGATTCATGGCCATGTGGCGTGGCAAACAAGAAATCACCTTGTATGGTCAACGGTCGTTGCTCAAAGCATTTTCCCAAGAAATTCTCTGAGGCCACTAATCTTGACTTCAATGGGTATCCTGTTTACAAGCGTAGTGATAATGGGAATACAGTTGTCAAAAGTGGTATTGAATTGGATAATAGATACGTGGTGCCGCACAATAGATATTTGTTAATGAAGTATAGAGCACACATTAATGTTGAGTGGTGTAACCAGTCTCGCTCTATTAAGTATTTGTTCAAATATGTGAATAAGGGTAATGATCGAGTTACTGCCCAATTTTATAAGAGTACTGAAACTGAAGATAGTAGTGAGGTTATAGATGAGATTAGTATGTATTATGATTGTAGATACATCTCTCCTTGTGAAGCTGTGTGGCGTCTTTTTAGTTATGACATCCAATTCCGAAATCCGGCCGTTGAACGATTGAGCTTTCATTTGCCGAATGAACAAAACATTGTTTTCGACGATGATGTTTCTGTGGAATCGGTGCTTGAACGCCAGACAGTTAGGCACAGCATGTTCCTCGCGTGGTTTGAAGCAAATAAACGGTATCCGTGTGCTCGTGAGTTAACATACAAGCAGATGCCTAATAGCTTTGTGTGGAAAAAAAGCATTCGTGAATGGCAACCAAGGCGTCGAGGATTTGCAATAGGTCGCATGTTCTATGTGCCGCCAGGTACTGGTGAAATTTACTATCTAAGGTGTTTGTTAAATTTAGTTCGGGACCAACATCTTTTCAAGATATTCGCACGGTAGATGGTGTTGAGTACTCTTGCTTTCGAGATGCATGTTATGCTCGGGGATTGATTTTCTGATGAGAAGGAGTATGTTGATGCAATACTTTGAAGCTAGCCATTGGCAACTGCTGCTGCTGTTCGTAGACTGTTTGTTACTCTACTTACTTCTAACTCAATTTGTCAGCCGGAAAAAGTTTGGGAAATTGTTTGGGCAGAACTTTGTGACGACGCAGAATACAATCAACGTACACTGTTGAATGATCCAGGTACAGTTCTACTGTCTTTATTAAACTACTTAGACTCAATATACCAGTTATGAAGTGTTTTCAACGGGATCTAACTGTACTTACAGTTTATTTAAAATGGTGATGATGTGCAGCGTTTGTGTTGCCTGAATGTGAGAAGAAAAGATATGGGCTTACTGAATTGGAAAAATTGTTATCGTTGTGGGGTAAGAGCTTACAAGACTTTCCGTGTATGCCTGTTCCTGAAACCGATGTGCCAACTGTTGCATTCAACCGTTTGATAGCTGAGGAATTGAATTACGAATTGTTCATTATTGGCCCAGGAGCATTTGTCATTAGTTCAGAAATTAACTGTTGAGCAAAAGCAAGCGTACACTACCGTGTTGGAATTAGTTGCAGGCAATAATGGAGGTTTGTTTTTCGTTTTATGGGTACGGTGGTACAGGTAAAACATTTGTGTGGAAAACCTTATCAGCTGCACTACGCTCAAAGCGTAAAATTGTTTTGAACGTTGCATCCAGCGGAATTGCTTCGTTACTCATACCTGGTGGTCGGACTGCACATTCCCGTTTTGCCATACCAATCGCTGTGAATGAGGATTCCACTTGCAATATTTCACAAGGCAGTGATCTAGCGGAGTTAATAATTAAATGCAGCTTGATTATTTGGGATGAGGCACCTATGATGCACAAGCATTGCTTCGAAGCATTAGATAGGACAATGCGTGATATATTAAGATTTGCTAATCCATCAAGTTGCAACTTGCCATTTGGAGGGAAAACAGTTGTTCTTGGAGGTGATTTTAGACAAATCTTACCGGTGATACCAAAGGGTACCAGGCAAGATATTGTTGGCTCAAGTATTAACTCTTCTTATTTATGGAGTCATTGTAAGGTATTGAGGTTAACTCAAAATTTGAGGTTGCAAAATGTGGGCTCTACTGGAGAAAGGAGAAACCTTGCTGCTTTTGCTAATTGGATTGCGGCTATAGGTGATGGCCAGGTTGGTGTCCAAATGATGGTCATGCAAAAGTTGAAATCCCTCAAGAACATGTGTTAAAGACAAATAGTGATCCAATTCGTGCTATTGTTGAGAGTACATTCCCTATGTTTTCTGAGCATCAACATGATGGCAATTATCTAATTGGAAGAGCAATTTTAGCACCAACTCTTGAAGTTGTCGATGAAGTGAACGAGTATATGAGTAATATGAAATGCAGAATGCCGAACATATTTTAGCTTGACTCAGTTTGTCCGACGGAAAACACTCCTGATTCAGTTGCCGCACTTCACACCCCGGAGTTCTTAAACGCGGTTAAAGTGCTCTGGTGTGCCAAACCATTCATTGGCTTTAAAAGTTGGGTCTCCAGTTATGTTATTGCGAAATATAGATCACTCTGCTGGTTTGTGCAATGGCACAAGGTTAATCATTTCTAAACTAGGCGACCATTGTTGAAGCCAAAATTCTATTCGGCAGTAATGCAGGAACAAAGGTGTTGATTCCACGATTGTCGTTGACCCCATCAGATCCAAAGTTACCGTTTAAATTTCAGAGGAGACAATTCCCCCTAATGTTGTCGTATGCTATGACAATTAACAAGAGCCAAGGACAAACGCTTTCTACAGTTGGCCTACTACTGAAAAAACTGTTTTTGTTCATGGACACTTTACGTAGCTTTGTCAAGAGTTAGCAATCCAAATGGTCTTAAGTTACTTATTTGCAATGACAATGGAGAATATGTTTCTTCAACGTCAAATATTGTATATAAAGAGATATTTAATAATATATAAACTTTGTATGTTATTTAGTTTTTGTTACATACATTATATATATATATATATATATATATATATATATATATATATATATATATATATATATATATTTTTACTTATTTAATTTATTTATTTATATACACACACTTTATTTTGGTCCGTGGCATCCGCCGGTGATAACTAGTCGATAATAAAAATAATAAAATTCTTAATTTAATACTAAAAGATAATAATATAATAATTCAATATAATAACTAAATTTATTAATTTTTAAAATAAACTTTTTGAAAAGCCAACAAACCAAAATATATTAAACATCAAATGGTTCAAAAAACATAGAGGGAGGAGTACCCTCCAAGATCAGG